GAGAAACGTCTTAGTAACTCACACTACTATAGAGTATGAAACAGAAGGGCAAGCCTCATTACATTTTTAAAGCACTCCAGTAAGAACACTTGGCACTGGATTTCATTGTCATTAATAACTGTTTTGGAGTCCACAGCACATCCTTGTAAAAGACTTAAAACTAGCCAGTTGTAGTAGTGCCAGGCAACAGACTGTTCCACTGAACAGAACTCATTTGCTTCAGGTTATTTTGGCCAACAAACTCCAAACTCCCCATAATTCAGGCCATGTCACCACTCATCTTAAAGAAAATGTCTTGAACTTGTGTTGCAAGATGATGGAATCTGGTGACTGTTGCCTAAAGCAAGTAAAAAAGCTTGGAGCAAGTGTACATAAAATACAAGTATTTCTCACTATTTTAAAACAAAAGTATCTCATTCACTTTTGTATGGCACAAATACCTCCATTACCACGTAACAAAACTACTTCAAGATGTATAATTAAGGTAGATAGGAGTTTGATCTATTACTTTTTTCCTCATAAGAAACAGGGAATTATTCTGAGGGACAAAAAAAGCCTCAAAACCAACAAACCAACCAAAATAATTTAGCCCACCAAAAGGAAACAATGATATGAACTGTATATTTTTCTTAGAATCATCTAGTACTAAAATAAGTTCCTTTTACACAGTCACTTATATTGTTAATTTACACATCTGGACAATTGGAAGGTCCTGAAAATAAACTTTAAAAAGGCAAAAGATACCTTATATTAAGAGGGAGATGGGGGCTGGGGATAAGAATCCTTTGCATTTGCATCTGCAATTCTCACAGCAGGAGCTTTCAAAAAGGGCAAGGGTACTGTGCAGTACTTGCTTGTCTCCAGGCTCATAGAGGCTAAATTCAGAAGGCCACTACCTATACCATTCCTACCTTCCACAGGGAACCAAGTATAAAACATCAACAATTCACACAACACAGAAGAAATGAAGTTTACTTTGTACAGAGCTAGCTTGCTAAAAGGCCATGACAGGTACTGGTCTCACAGCAAGACAGGTATTTGTAGATCCCTGCAGGTGCAAGTAAACATAGTTGCTTTTATGTAGTCTTTTGTTTGATTAGCTCTTAATTAAATAATGTTTTAAATATATGGTTTTAAGACTCATAAACTTAGTTTTTGTGTTCTTGTCCAGATTTCTTCTGTACATTTAATTACTCATTTGACTGACACTTTGTACATCTTAAAAAAAATTCAAAGAATCACAGAATGGTGTAGACTGTAAGGGATCTCTGGAAGGCATCTGGTCACACCACCCTGCTCAAGCAGGGCCACCTACAAAAAGTTGTCCAAGACCATGTCCAGACCGCTTCTGAGTATCTCCAAAGATGAAGAGTCCACAACTTCTCTGGGCAACCTGTGCCAATGTTCAGTCAGTCATTCTCACAGTAAAAAAGCCACTTTCCTCTGCAACATTGATATTGAAGGAGTTCTCCCTTAGGCCACAAAATGAAAGGATGCGAGAACTTCTCTGCTTTGTCCTGCTTTTTGATCACGTGGATCATACAACCCAAAGTATGATACTTACCAAGATCAGTGTTTGAACTTTTAACTGCAAAATACAACCGCCCCCCCCTCCCCCCAAACACACGGATATCTTGCTTGCTTTACAGTAGACTTTGAGTAACAAAGATTAGAAAAGCAGACCAAAACATAATATTTACTAGAAGATTTTAATATTTTTCTTACCAGTGTGAAATTTGTCTGGTTTGGAATTTAGAAACCATTTGACAAAATGAAAAACCAAACAGACAAAACCAACAAACAATAAATGAACAAAAACCACAACACCCCCCCCTCCTTTTTCAACATTGTTCTATAGTTTAACATTTTCTGTTGTAATTTAAAAGTAAGAATTTTTTTGCTTTACTATTTAATTTACTACTGAAAAACTATATATATAAAAAAAGGTACCTAAATTACCTCAGTGTGGAAATAACTAAGAAAACCACTTTTCATGGAACAGAAATATGACACAAATACAAGAAAAAATTTTTCATTTTTTTTCCTAGAAACTCAACTGGTTTGATCAAAGGGGTTTCACTGAAGGACAAAGTAACTTTTTTTCCCTAATCAGTGCACAGGATGAGTCCTTCACTCAGTCTTCTTCCTAACATTTGCTGGACATCCTCCATATGGCTCATTTCTAACACCTACTGCTCATTTGTAGTGAACGACCTACTTCTGGAGAGTTCAACTTATTTTCAAGACACTTCATACTGGCAAGCTCAGGTACTTCAGAAAAGAATGGAAATACCAGTCTGCAGATACTGAGGTAACTGAGCTGTTTATTTTTTTCAAAAGGTTTCCTGTAACAATAATAACAAAAAGTATTTCAAATAAAACCCAGGAAATCTGAGGAAGTTAATAGCACTGACCAAGTCAGCTTACTCTTTTTAAGTGATAAGCAAAGTTTAGATCTTAGCATATTTGTAATTTTCTATTTCATAACCATTGTTTCATTGAAATCTTAATATAGCATTAAGAGCAAATCATGCGCTCCACTTTCCTTTCCATGCTACTATGTTTCTCATTCCCAGAGTGTAGCATCAGGAAGTTACACAAGACGGAAGCAGAGACAAATAAGAAAAGGCAATTATAGCTAATCTCTTGCATTTACAAAGTTTGTTCTTTCTCTAAAACCTTACGTCTTGGGGGGAGAAATGATACCTTATTGACTAGATAAAGGAGAAAAGGTTAGAAGATGATTGTAAGGGAGAAGCACCTCTCCTATGAAAAAAGGCTGACAGAAATGGACTTGTCCAGTCTAGAGAAAAGGTGGCTTCGGGGAGGCCTTAGAGCACCTTCTAGCACCTAAAGAGAGTTGGAGAAGAACTTTTAACATGGGTATGTAGGGTTTTCTACAGTGAGAGTGGCAAAATACTAGAACAGGCTGCTCAGAGAGGTGGTGGATGCCTCAATCCTGGAAAACATTCAATGTCAGGTTGGATGGGGCTCTGAGCAATCTGATCTAGTTGAAGATGTCTTCGATCACTGGAGAGGGGTTGAACTACATGACCTTTAAAGGTCCATTTCAATCCAAACCATTTTATGATTCTCTGCTGCCAGCATAAAATTAGAAGTGCTACAGAAACAGCCATAAGCCCTACCTGGAGCAAGGGGGCAGAGGGCGGAGAGGAATTCAATGGTCACAAAGCTTAAGTCTAGTTAACATACAAACACTGTATGACTAAGGCTTGGCTTGTCCAGGACCATATTTGTGACTCATTCCCCCTCTTTCATCCTCAATCCCTTTACTTTCCAAAAGACATCATATGTAAGCAGAGGTGAGGTCCATATAACCAAGAGGGATGAGACTCAGAATATCTTGCATTAATGCCTGCTAGTGTGCACTAAACAGTTGTACACAATTAGTGAGCAGGGAAAAAACGTGCATGCAGAAAGGTTCTTCCCGCACCCCCAAATCCAGGTTGTTCCCAAAGCAGGTTTCCTATGAAGATTCCCCAACCAAACTAGAGGCTATTTGCTAATAACAGTGGTCAACCAGCACCTTCCCATCAAGGAAAAAAATGTTCCAATGCACATAAGACTGCAAGATGTAGCAGCTGGTAACCAGAACTTCTCTTTGAACCACTACTAAACACAAGGTCAAGACTTTAATTCCGGTTACCCAGATTAACATTTCTGTGACACTCCTTAAATAAGCCAGGTTTAGTGCATCCAACTCAGCTCTTAGTATTTCAGCATGCCATCGAGTGCCAAAAGTACCGTAGTAGATGAAATTCTCCCAACGGTAAACTTCTTATTATCAAACAATGTACAGTCTCCTCAAAAATATTTCAATTAAAGAACACTATCCTTTGCCCAGTTAAACATTTCTCATCTTAACATATGATTATAAAAAACCAAACAGTTTAAGAGTCAATGTGATACTAACATTTGCTTATGCAGACTGGACAATAGTTAAACATGAGTTTTTTTCTTACAGTTTTACACTAAAAAGCTGTGCCTGTAGTCAGGTTGTTGGTAAGACAACAGTTTACTGTAACTACTACAATAGAAGAATTTTACTTGTATGACAAACCCAAGCTTATGTAAGCACTTATCAAGCTGGCAAAGAGAACCTCTACCTAAATCAAGTTTTATCTGAAGCGATCAAAGTTGGCAAATTTTACACAGAGTTGCCCTTGTGGGACACTGAAGAGACCTTGCACAGAACTTACCATAGAACTAAGCTCAGTTACCCATCCTAGAGCCTTTTAAGAGCTCCTTCCCCAGCTATTAGACCAGCATAACCAAACAGGCATTCCATAATACTTATCAAAAGTTCATCAGCAAGTAACGTGGTACAGTTATCAGCTGTTTTTATTTTTATTTAAAGACAAGTCACACAAACTATGCTGTGCATGAGCACACCTTATTCCACTCAATCTCTTTGCAGAATTCAACCTTTTAAGGGAAAAACTTTATGAGCTAGTGCAGAATGCAATGACTAGCTCCATATAAATGCATGCCAGCACACAAGGTATCCCAGTTTGCATATTGTCATTTTTCTCATACTACATCTTTCATACAGAGATTAGGAATACTGCCTGGTTAAAAAAAAAGCTTTTCCTCATTGTTTTTTAAACATATCAAAGCTCTAACAGTAAAGCCTCATGTTTACCTTTGGAGTCTACATGTCTTCAGTAAGATGGAGGACAGAATCGTTTAAGCAGAGTTTATTAAATGCAAACAGTTTCATTTCAATTGACACAACTGGTAATAATAGCTCAACCTTTAGCAAAAATTTCAGCTATTTCAAAATCTGAATTTTAGCAGTAAGTACAAGGTACTTCTTCACAGTTAAGGGTTTAATGTTTATTACCAAAAATTCTTGAAAAAAGCGCGTTAATTTAAAACCGTTCTTGCAATAGTAAAAATACCCCACAAAAACACAACCACCCATCACAAACAAAACAAAACACCCAAAACAAACCCAAAACTTTGTCAGAGACACTCACCCGCAACACTGGTAATGGTAACAGGAACTCCTTGAACTTGAACACCTGCAGCACTCAGGTTGGCAACACTTACTGTTTGAAGATTAGGTACTGAAGCAAGCTGTGCAGCGTTCAGAGTGATGGGGGTACCAGCAACAGCCACCGGAGCAATCTGGGCAATGGTTGTGCCACCGCTTGAAGACACAGGGGTAATGGTTAGTTGTTGGGGTAACCCAGCGTTTTGAACTTGAAGATTTGAAAGGCTTTGCAGATTCTGAACCTGCACAGTTTGCCAGCTGATCTGTCCTGATGGCGTTAAAGTTGGAGCCCTGATGAGCACCTGAGTTGGGCTCACTGCCTGCAACTGAACGTTCTGCAACGGCTGCTGCTGGATGGTCTGTATAGTCTGCCCTGACTGGAGCTGAAATGACTGTGGGGGAATGGCCTGAATAATCTGCTGTTGAGGCTGCTGGATCTGTATCTGCTGCAGAATAGGCTGACCAACAATTTGGACCTGTTGAAGAGAACCTGACTGATCCTGCACGCTCTGCAGTCCATTGGACTGAAGCTGACTGGAGCTCTGGGCTTCGGAGTCTGTAGCAGTGGTTTGAGGTTCTTCAGTTGCCTGCTCTGAGCTGCTGCCTGCTGTGCTTGTGTATTGGCCTGTTTCTGCAGAGCTTACCAGCGTGTCACTGCTAGTCAGAGATGTTGAGGCAGTGGTCGTAGCGGTGGAAGATGAGGAAGGAGACTCTGGCATGGTAGTACCAGAGGCAGAAGTGACAGGTGTAGACGCTAGCTGATTTCCATTGGAAACTCCGCTCTCAGTAGACTGGCCAACTTGCCCTGAACTTCCTCCAGTGGCAATATTGTTAATCACAGGCAATGCCAGGGTTACTCCACCAATGTTTATAGGTAAGGTTGTTACAACTTGCGCCTGAGTACCAGGAATAGTTTGCAGTTGCAGTGGTATGGAAACACCAGGCCTAATTTGCACTGGAACTGACTGATTTGCTAGGTTTTGAGCAATAACATTCCCCGAAGCTGTCCTGTTTGCAGTTGTGAGGATAGCTTGATTATTCCCTGCAGGAATAAGCTGAATTTGACCCTGTATGTCTTGTAGACCAGTAGCATTAGATGGATTGATTTGACCTTCTGTTGCCTGAATCTGTGGGATCACTTGGTATTGGACACTACCGCTTGGATTTTGTACTTGAATGACTTGGAATTGTCCAGGGGTTGTTGAAGAAGAATTGCCTGATTTAGTTTTTGAAGGAGACGCACTTCCATTGTTACTGCTGGAGGGACTTGCTGCACTTGAGGCAACAGAAGATCCTTGTTGAGTATTATTTTCTTTTGAAGCAGAAGGTGCAGCAGCAACAAGCTGCCAAGCGTTTCCAGCAAGCTGAGTTGTTACCAATTCCAACTGCTGTGGCTGATTCTGAAGCTGCACCAAACCTTGATTTGGGTCTATAATAATCTGCTGCTGTCCAGTTCCTTGATTCTCACCAGGAGTTCCTATTTTGCTGCAAGTGGCTGCTAGCAAAGCGAGAGGTGAAGGCTGAGAATCCTGTCCATAAAGAGAGAAAAAAGAATAGATTCAGAAGAGCTTGAGTATGAACCATCAGAAGAAGTGAGCATTCAGGTTTGCAAAGGAAGCAAAAAAAAAAAAAAAAAAGGTGCTTCTGCATGGAGACCAACAATACAGCTCTGAACAAGGAAGTCTGAATTGCTGTAAGTAATATTTAAACATAGTCCTTAAAACTCCTTATTATCAATGACTATGTGAGAGCCAGGACCTCAACTGCATCCTCAATTCAGTCTTTTTTCCCCTCTAAAATAGACCAAAAATTAAAAAATGTTCCTATTACATGTAAAGCAGCTGATCGCGGCAAAATGCAATCAAATAAACATGTCCAGGCAGTAAAAACATTGCACCCAACCGTGTTTCATCCAACCCAGAGAAAGATGCCCTGAGCAGGAAATGCTGAACATTTCATTTTAAATGCTAATACTTTGGGCACTTCCCTCTTCGAGTGTGTGTTCTTTACCTGTGAGCCTCCAGTTTTCCCTTTTTTATTATTATTGTTGTTATTCTCTGCCTCGGGAGATTTCTCTCCCTCTGTGGGCATAGTTTCCTCCTTCTTTTGATCTGTAAAAATATCAAGTGTAACAGGTTAATTATTCACCTTCATTTATACAATAACAAAAGCTACGAACATATCCTTTTCGGTCCCCAGCTCGTCGCCTTTGCTTCTTCATAAAAACAACAGTACAAATCATTATTACAAAAGAACGAGTCCTAAGAAACGTGGTTTGAAACCCAACCCATGGGGGCTGGAGAGTTAACACCCAAAAAGGGGAGGTTTGGTTTCCTCTCCCAGAGACAGCAGGAAAAAACCACCCACAACCCTCCTCCTCCTCCTGCCCCCTAAAGCATCGACGGCCACTCAGTGGCCGCCGATGCTTTAGGGGGCAGGAGGAGGGTTGTGCATGGGAGGGAAAGAGGGAGGAAAAGAGGAATGAAGGAGGGAGGGATGTGCACAGGAGGGAGGGTTCGCGAAGAAAGGGGGAATGGAGGAGGGAGGTACGGAGGAGGCAAGCCGGAGGGGTAGGCAGGAGAGGAAGAGAAGAAAGGGGGCATAAGAGGAAGCAGCACGGATGGGTGGAGGGGCAGCGAGAGAAGAGTGGGGTAAGAAGGGGGAGAAGCAAGGAAGAAAAGGGGGAACCCGGGAGGGCGGGATAGAGGGGCGATGAAGGGTGGAGGGAGGAGCGGAGGGAGGGAGGGGTGTGCACAGGAGGGAGAGAGGGAGGGGGTTACATACCGCTCATCCCGCATTAATGCCCCGCTGAGGCGCCGCTCTAGGGGGGAGGAGAAGGAGGAGGAGGAGGCGGAGGGTGGGGTGGGGGTAGCGGGGAGAAGGCCGGTCGCAGCCGGGAGCTGGGAGGAGCGGGACGGCCTATTTTTCCACGAATGGCCGCCGCTGGGCTGTGGCGTAGCTGCCTTTCTCTCCGCCCGCCGCCGCCGCCGGCCTCAACCCGCCGCCTTGAGTGACAGCCGCGGGCCGTGGGGGGCGGGCGGGGGCGGGGCCCGCTGGGGCCCCAACGACGCCCACTGAGCAGGAAACCGAGCCCAGCCGCCGGCCCCTCGGCCACCCCGCTCCTCCTCAGCCCGGCTCCCCACGCCGCAGGCACGAGGGGCGGGGCGGGGGCGGGACGCGGCCCAGAGCCCTCGGCGGCGGCCGCCTCCGTCTCCTCCTTCTCCTCCTCCTCCCGGTGCTCTGCCGTCCGCGCCGCGCGGGAGGGGCGTGGCCGCCGGGGCGCGCGCGTTCCGCGGGGGCGGCCGCAGCTCCCGCCCTCGCGCCGCTCGCTTGACAGCGCCGGGCGGAGGGAGGGGCGGGAAGAGGGCGGGGCCCGAGCCGCGGGGGGGCGGGGCCGCACCGGGCCCTCGGCCCCGGGTCCCGCCGCGGATCGAGCCGGTGATTGACGGCGCGCGCGCCGCGGCCGCCAGCGAATCCGGCGAGGCGGCGGGCGGGGCTGCGCGCGACCGCTGGCCAACCCGGGGGTGCGCGCCCGCCTCGCGCGCTCGTAACTGACAGCGTGCGGGAAGCCCCCGACCCGCCGCTCCCCCCGAGGCGCGGCCGCCCTTCCCCCGCCACTCCCTCCGGCCGCCCAGGGAGCGGGAGGAGACGCCCCTACGGCTTCCATGTGGAAGCCGGGGCCTATTCCCTCCCCCGTCGCGCTACTCCTTTGTAACAGACTCCCGTGCCAGCCCCCTGCCCAGCGCGAGAGGGGGAAGGGCGGCTCGAGGATCGCTTCCACACCTGCTGTGGGTGGGCGGGAGCTGCCTCTTCCCTCCCCATTGGCGCGGCGGCGGAGGCCGGCGCGCGCGGCACGCCGGGATACGTAGTTCTGGCGGGGGGGGATGCCGGCGGCGGCGGCGCATGCGCAGCGGGGGTCGCGGGCGGCGTGTCCGGCAGGTGCTGCCGGAGCAAGAACCGGGCTGGGGAGCGGGGCGGGCAGGGCCGGGCTGGGCTGGGCTCAAGGAGGGGGGCCGGGCAGGGCCGGGTCAGGGCAGGTCAGGTCAGGTCAGCCCGGGTCAACCCGCAGCCCTCAGCCTTGCCTCGCTGCGGATCTACAGAGCGGAGTCAGTCCCCAGCAGCCTGTGGTGGTCCAGGCTGTCCGCGATTGGATTAAAACAAGATGAATTGCGGTTGTACTGTTGGTCTCCGATGCTCGTGCCGCTATTCCATGCGAATCAGGCCCCGCTGTGCCCGACTGGTTCGGAGCGGCGGTTGTGCTAAACGAAGCTGGTCACAGTTGTGGTGTGGTGCAAGAAATGGTGGATCAGTAATACCCAGCTCCCCATGGCAAAGCCTGTTAGCCCTACTCAGATTTGGAAGAAAGCTAGTAGAAGTGGTGCACGTGTGCAGCTCTGTCAGTTTAAATTTTCTATTCTGTGTACCCAAATTCTTTGTCAAGTGAACACAGAGCACCTACTAATCACAAGATCACCAGTCTCCAAGATTATTAGGGAGATAGAGCACCTCTCCTACAAGGGAAGGCTGAGAGAATTGGGTTTGTTCAGCCAGGAAAAGAGACGGCTTAAGGATTAACCTATTTGTGGCCTTCCAGTACCTGATGGGAGTCTACAAGAAAGATGGAGAGGGACTTTTTACAAGAGCATTTAGTGACAGGACAAGGGGGAATGGCGTCAATCTGTCAGAGGGTAGATTTAGATTAGATATTAGGAAAAAATCTTTACTGTGAGGGTGGTGAGGCACTGGAACATATTGCCCAGAGAAGTGGTGGGTGCCCCATCCCTGGAACTGTTCAAGGCCAGGCAGTATGGAATTCTGAGCAGCCTGGTCTAGTGGAAGGTGTGCCCCATGGCAAAGAGGTTGGAACTAGATGATCTTTAAGGTCCCTCCCAACCCAGGCCATTCTATGGTTCTGTGATGTCAGTGACTAAAGTGACACTTCTTTACCAACTGTTCAACAATTTCATTCTTCATAGGGATGAGGCCACCCTCAGTCTCCCCTCCAGGCCTCCAGCGCACCTTCTGGAAAGGAGGAAATACAGAATTACCATTGTAGAGTAAGAAAATCAGAAATAAGCATGGCACAGGCTATTTCCAGGTGTCACAGCCAGAACACACAGGTCACAAGCAGAAAAGGACCCTAAACATGCTGAATAAATTGTGTTCAGATAAGCAAGTGGTAGTATCTAATGAGTGCCCCTGGTGGTGCAGTGGCTAAACCACAGCGTTGTCAACGCTGAGATCCGGGTTCGATTCCTGGTTAGGACACTCCCCGGGCAGATGGAGCTCGCTAGCCCTGTAAGGCAATCCATCTACGTCCTGAGGACCTCGCTGCCACCGTCCAAGCGTGCTTGGCCCCGGCAGATGAACCTCAGGATTAAAGGGTGGGCTCAGTTCCGCGCACACTGTGTCTCACCTAAAAAATCCAATGCGCAGGCTGGAAGGTGGAAAGACCTTCCCCGGTTCTTCGTTCGCGAAGAGACTGGCC